AACATATCTTATTGGTCCAGGTATATGTTGATGATATTATTTTTGGATCAACTGATAATTCGTTATGTGTAGAATTTGCTAAGATAATGCAGGGAGAGTTTGAAATGTCTATGATGGGAGAATTGACATTCTTCCTTGGACTTTAAATCAAGCAACTTAAAGATGGCATCTTCATCTCTCAAACCAAATACTGCAAAGAGAACCTTAAAAAGTTTGGAATGGACACCTCAAAGGAAGCTAACACACCCATGGGAACTTCATGCTATCTAGACAAGGATGAATCAGGTTTGGAAGTTAATCAATCTATGTATAGAGGTATGATAGGTTCACTGTTATACTTAACTGCCAGTAGACCTGATATTATGCATTCTGTCTGTGTGTGAGCTAGATTTCAGGCTTGTCCAAAAAAATCTCACCTAATTGCAGTAAAACATATTTTAAAATATTTAAAAGGAACTACTGGTTTTGGTTTATGGTATCCATCTGATGCTTGTATAGTAATAGGATATTCTGATGCTGATTATGGTGGATGCAAAATTGATAGAAAGAGTACTAGTGGGACATGTCATTTGTTAGGTTCATCCTTAGTATCTTGGCATTCTAAGAAACAGGCATGTGTTGCTTTATCCACCACTGAAGCTGAATATATTGCAGCTGGTAATTGTTGTGGTCAAATTTTGTGGATGAAACAACAACTAGAAGATTATAGAATATTTCTAAATGACATACCTTTAATGTGTGATAATACGAGTGCAATTAATTTTACTAAGAATCCAGTAATGCACTCTAGGACTAAGCATATAGAGATTAGACATCACTTTTTGAGAGATCATATCAGCAAAGGAAACTGTAAAATAGAGTACGTTGATACAAAGCACCAATTAGCAGATATTTTTACTAAGCCTCTACCCAAGGATAGATTCTATGATCTTAGAAGAGACTTAGGGATATTAGAAATAGCTTAAATTCTGCTTAATTAGACAGTTTTTGGATGGTTATAATGTTATAATTCATTATGTAGGATGTTCATAGATTATCATGTGCATAAACCTCAAATATTTGATGAACTCTCTGGAATAATCGATTAATTGGAGTTATAATCGATTATTTGCATCCAAAACACCCAAAACATGACATTTCTCTCTGGATTAATCGATTAATTCGCCCATTAATTGATTAAACTCAGTATTAATCGATTAACAGCTCAAATTAATCGATTAAATGGGTCTGGTACTGGTTTAATCGATTAATTTGAGTTTTAATCGATTAAACCTGGAAAGTTTGGATTCCTAGCCGTTGCCAACGGCTCTTTTGACCCTTATTCACTTTCATATGACCGTTGGAGATGCTTGGCTATAAATAGGGACCTCCATTTCACTTCTACTCACTTCTATCTCTTGAAATCAAGCTTTCTTGCCTCATTCTATCAATCTTTCCTTCTTCTCACTTAACTTGTCCTCTTAAATCTTCTTGTTACTCTTCTAATCCTACAATGACCTCATCTTCTCGTGCTAAAATTCCCACCAGAAGAGATCTGCACCCTCATCTCATCCCCGTCCTAATTTGTAGAAGGATGGATCTCTAATGCAGAAGGCCGACAAGAATTTCTGTCTTATTGGAAGGAACATGGTATTATTTCTCCTAAGTTCCTTATTGGTGATCAGTTCATCAATAGGGGATTCAACTTTCCTAATCTCCTTGAAATTCAAGGAGTTCTCCCTTTCATCCAAATGCAAGGTACGTATTATCCTTACTTAGTTAGGGTATTTTACTCTAGGTTCAAATTTAGAGATCAAATTGCTACCTCTCGAGTAAAGGGGGTCACAATTATTCTTGATGATGATATTTGGGAAAATGTTGCCCACTTTCCTATTAGAGAAGATGCTATTAACGTATTTGGTGAGTTAGATGATTTTGACAGGATCATGGTTTACCGTTCTTTTCTGCGAAACCCTTCCATGGAGATTGGGCATCTCCTTCTTGCTGGACCTTTGAAGAAGGAGGAACGCATGATTTTGCATTTACTTGTCTGGATCCTATGTCCCCGGGCTACGAATCATGCTCAATGTTCTTCAATTGATCTTCGTATTATTCATGCCATAATGAATAATGAGCCTTTAGATTAGGGCATTCTTGTCACCATGACTATGTTAAAAGCCAAACACCATCCCACCTTCAAAATTCCATATGCCCTCCTTGTCTCTCGCATTCTTGAATACAAAGGAGTAAATTTCGAAGGTGAACAAATAGTAAGAACGAATAACTTAAACCGCATGCTGGACAGCACATTGACCCAACTCCAAATGGTGCGTGTCAAGAATATTTATCTTCACAAGGATAACGTTCCAAACGAAGGTGACGATAATGAAGATTCTGATGAAGATATGCCTCCTGTTGCTGATTTTCCTTCTGATCAAATCCAAAGTGTTGGAACTTCCTCTGCTCATCATGAAACCCGTCAATCTAAGGAAAATATGTTATCTGATATGAATCAGAGGAT